CAATGGCATAGTGGTTAGCACTTCCTGTGCTTGTGTGGACTTCCTCCAGGTACTCCGATTTCCTCCCACACTCTAAAAACATGCTGAAAAGTGAATTGGCTCCTGTATAAATTGGCTCATGTACATCTGTGTGTATGTGAAATAGGAACCTTAGACTGTAAGCTCGTGGAGGGCAGGGACTGAGATGCACAATATGTAAAGCACTGCGTAAATTGTCGGCATATAGAAATACCTGTAATCAAAATAAATCTCAAGGTAAATGGTGAGGTTGAGTTCCGGCCAATAAACTCTTTCCGTCTATACCCAGATGCTGATCTGCATGCGCCCACGTCCTGGACACGCGTGTTACATCACACATATGGAAGCGGAACGTATACAGAGTCTTCAGAGCATTGCAGAAAATGTGCTGAGCAAGGTGAGGTGTTTGATTTGGGACAACTGCACAACTAGGGTCCAAGTATCCAGGGGTAGGCAACTTCAGCCCTCCAGCTTTGTCATGTCTGTGCCTCTGGGAGGCATGCTTGTAGCTGTCAGAGTCTTGCAATGCCTCATGGGACTTGTAGCGTCACAACAGTTGGAATGCCAAGGTTGCCAACCCCTGAAATAAACCATTCCAGGATCAACACCCAGCTTACCCTCTGGCTAGACCTACAAGTGACACATAGTGAACCTGTGCTTTGCTGATGCAGGCATTTTGCACCAATGCCCCACGACTTTTACCTGTTCCAACAAATTACAGAGAACTGCCCAACAACGTCATTCAAAAGACAATACAGGGTACAAATGTAATCAATTAGCAACGTGCTCCCTCTTTCTTTTTCTGTTTCTCTCTCTTTTTTCTCTTTCTCTGCATATTAAAGGAGAACTATTGGGTCAGGGCTTTTCCCCATAGTTCTCCTTAGGGTAACGGGAGGACACAAACTAGCGTCCTCCCGTCACCCTAGGCTCAGTATACCGCGAGCTAAAGCTCGCGGTATACTGAGACGCCGCAGCCGGAGGTGATCCCGACATCGATGTCGAGATCCGCCCAGCTGCGTGAGTGACAGCTGGCTCTGCCTATCTAGAGGCAGAGCCAGCTGTACCCGCCCCCTCCCCCGTCCGTTCCGCCAGTCAGCGCTGGCGGATCGGAGCGGGGAGAGGGGAATCCAGCCCCTCCACTCTCACGGCAGAGAGCCGTGACAGGATCGAGAGGTGAGCGAACCCGGTATGTGTTCGCTCACCTCCCGATCTACTGAGCCGACCTGTGACAGTCTCATTGTCACAGGTCGGCTAGAACTATGAGGTGAGTGAAAAGCACTCAGCTCATAGTTCTCCTTTAAGGCTTAGTTTTTAATTTTGACTGGAGTGCTCCTTTAAGTGTGTCATTGACAATACGATAGCAAGCATTTGAGCTGCAAGTTTGAAAATGACTCGCTAAACTATTGCTAGACTTGCCGAGCTTCACAATTTTGTTGCACAATTACAGCGAGTCTGCATTGCAGGTCTCCAGATCAACGTGCTTTGCAAAAGTGCTGTACACTCGCAGAGCTCTTGCTAAGACCTGCAGGACTCTTGCTGTAGACTTGCCAAGCAAATTTGTTACAAATTCAAGAAGTGTCGCCTAGAACTTGTGCTGCGAGTGTTCTGCAAGTCTAGAATTTGCCAGAAATGCGTGCAGCAAGTTACCAAGAATTACAATTTCACCCTAACACAAGTTTGTGGCAAGTTATCCTTGCTATCTGGGTTGCAGTCAAGTCATATTGCCTTATTGTAAATAATCTTTTTTGATTCTTCTCCTTTGAATCTCTTAGATCGGTTCTGAGACTGCCAAACAGACTGACCCCACCAAGCTGGTGAGCGATCCTTCAGTCTTGGGCACTACCATCCGGGTGCTGTGTGGGGACCTGCCAGTCTACTGGACCTAATGGATTCTTGTGACTCTGGGCGCCCTCAAAATGGGACAGCCGCCTCTTTCTGCCATGTCCACACATTGTAATATTACCTAGAAACATGTACACGCCTTACATCTTCACTGCATGTCACTCTGATTGGCACACGTGGAAAATGAAAATGTTGACAGTGGCAACCAATCAAGTGTTGGCTTTCATTGTCTAAGCGGCCTTAGAAAATTGACAGCTGGGATCTTATTGCTTGTCATAGACAAGAGTTTCTGTTCTTCCATTTTTTAATATTTTGTACAATGTGAATGATTCATGTATCCATTGTACAGATTGCTCTATGACCACTCTACCCATCACACAATACGAGTGTAACTGCCGTGTCTAAATACCTTGGGATGATTTGACTTGTTCATTGTGATGAATGTGAATAACATCCGCCAATTTCCTATACTCCATTCACACTTCACACACTCAAGTATATGTTGAGTGCGTGACATATACCCAAACCCAAACATATACACTAGATTCTACATACAGTACCTCCGAAATGCCCCAAATGTGGGTAGACAGCCCTGGTTTTCACATCTGAAAGGCATGGCTTGGGACAGTCCGAGTGATGGACAATGAAGGTGGCCCAAGATTATATTGTAAGGTGTTGGGAAGCATGATTCTTAGCTCGTCACATTTTGTGTACTCAAAAATGTCCTTTTTTTTGTCTTTGTGACACTTTTTTTCGGCCCACAACAAATCTCTTTCTGTTCATTGTTAATGTTCTGTTTAATTGAACCCTGTACAGTTGTTGCCCCATCGTTGCTGCTGTATAAACAGTGTATAATCAATGTCCTTCTCTGTGTGTCTGAATTTGATGGTGGGAGCTTGCACTTAAATCAAGTTTTTCAAAAATAAAATTTTAAGCATGCAACAAATGATGAGATGCTGTGTACTTCTGTGTACTCCTAAATATGGTTTAAAGGAGAACTATGAGGCGAGTGAAAATCACTCATCCTCATAGTTCTAGCCGACCTGTGACAATGAAACTGTCACACGTCGGCTCAGTAGATCGGGAAGTGAGAGAACACATATCGTCGCTCACTCACTTCTCGATCATCTGCCTGCAGAGAGCCGTGACTGTCACTCACGGCTCCCGGCAGGGATTCCCCCCCTCCCCTGTCCGATCCTCCAGCGCTGACTGGGGGAACGAACGGGGGAGAGGGCGGGTACAGCTGGCTCTGCCTCTAGATAGGCAGAGCCGGCTGTCAATCACGCAGCTGGGTGGATATCGACAGAAATGTCGGGATCCGTCCAGGCTGCGGCGGTCTCAGTATACAGTGAGCTGTAACTCGCGATATACTGAGCTTTGGGTCACGGGAGAATGCTAGTTTATGTCCTCCCGTGACCCTGAGGATAACTATGGGGAAAAACCCTTACCCTATAGTTCTCCTTTAAAGATCGTCTCTGGCCAAACAAAAGAGTACCCTTGCAGTGGGGCTACCCCAGCACTGCAAGGGTTAACTGCTCTTTTGTCTAGGGGACCGGAGTGAAGCAGATTTACCTTCTCACCCTTTGCCCCGGCTGGTGAACTGTCTCTTAGCATCCTCACGTCTAATGTAGGTCTATGGAACCTGCATTAGATGTGATGACATCAGCTGTCCTTAGACCACCGGAGCCCAACAGAGAAGAGGCTGCCGGGACCGATCTAGCAGCCTGGATGGAGCTGGCAGGGGTGAGGATCAGGTAAGTAAATCTGCTTTACACCATCCTCTAGAAAAAAATGAGCACTTAACCCTTGCAGTGTGGGGGTAGCCCCACTGGAAGTGTACTTTTTTTTGTTTGCCCAAAGATGGGCTTTATTATTATTATACAGGATTTATATTGCGCCAACAGTTTGCACAGCGCTTTACAATGTGAGGAAGACATTACAATCACAATACAATTCAAGACAAGATGGTAAGGAGGGCCCTGCCCATGAAAGCTTACAATCTAAGAGGAAGGGGCCAGTGATACATGAGGAGGTAGCTGTGTGGGGATTAATTATTTCAGAACGTAATGGTTGAGTGGTTAGGTTGAGGTGGGATAGGCTTCCCTGAAGAGATGAGTCTTTAGGGATCGCCTAAAGGCAGTCAGGGTGGGAGATAGACGGACAGGTTGGGGTAAAGAGTTCCAGAGGATGGGAGAGACTCAAGGCTTTAATAAACAAATGCAAAGTTATCCCTCTATGTAGAAGAACACAAATCCATACACATATGATATAGATAGGACCTATACCAGGTACGTCTGGGGAGGAGCCTGTGACTCCCTCCACACGACAGTGCAGGGGTTTTAAAACTTACCTACTCGAAAACTAGAAAAAAAAATTGGCTTTGCATTCACTTTGGGCCCTTCACCCTGCGAAAGTCCATGAACATTCAATCCGTGCATATGGAGCTCAGAACAAACATTCTTAGTACATTTTCTTCCCAGTTTGAGTGTACTCTATGTGAAATACCACGTAATGACCACTAGATGGGGCTAAAGAGCATAGAAAATAAGTATTTATTTCCTATGTTCCGCAGCTCCATCTAGTGGCCATAATCCAGTATTACATGATGACATTTGAAATTACATTGGACGCATAAAGAAATAAACTAAGGATGTTTATTTTATACATCCATTCACATGAAAGGAACATAGATTTGCAGGGCAAATGGCTTTGTGAATTGTTTATAAATAGGCCCCTTTAAGTCTTCTAAAACAAGTACAGAGATAAGGAATGGTGATTATTCTCTGACATTCATTTCCTCCATCCTTGTATAGCTCTGTGACTGGTGTCACAGCGAGAGACATCCAAACAACTAGCACATTTTTAAAGGACCAGTAATGGCAGATAAAAAATTTTTAATGACAGGTGAACTCCGGGCAAATAAAATGTTAACTCTTGCAGTGATGCTACCCTGGGGAGCTAAAATAACATAATAATATACTCACGTGAACCGCGATCCCAGCTGGTCCTAGACCGGTCCCCCCAGCCTCTCTCCTCCTTTGCTCCAGCAATGCCATGTCCTCACGTCCTATACACTGTATAAGACATGATGATTCACTGGACCTTAGACCACCGGAGTGGAGCAGGAGAGAGGCTAAGGGGACCAGTCTAGGAGCCAACCAGGATTGAGGTATATCTCACAAAACAAGCACTTAACGCTTTCAGTGCGGGGATAACCCCGGCTGGTTCCTAGACCGGTCCTTTTAGCCAGAGGCGTCCCGAGGCGGGGTGACACCCGGTGCCGGTACTGGGTGACACCCCGCTGTGATGTTGTCGCGTACGCGTGTGATGACGTTACGCGCGGTACCGCTGTTACCTGCCTTGGTGATGGACGCCGGCAGAGAGAGGAGGGGACATCACCCGGCAGGATAACATATGCCGTCGGGTCCCCTCCTCTCTCTCGCAACTGTCTGGCTCTCGGTCCCGACTTTTCAGAGGGGGGTGACACCAAAATGACTGTCCTGTACACTGTATAAGACCTCATGACTCACTGTACCTTAGACTCCCAAAGCAGAGGGGGAGAGATGCTTTGGGGACCGGTCTAGGAGCCAACCAGGATCACGGCCGAGTATATCTCACAAAACTAACACTTAACGTGGTAGCCCCACTGCACAACAGAATGCTTCTTCCAAAGTCAAGATGATATGTACAGACAGTTATCTTATATTTCTCTACAAGGACGCAGCATATGTGCCAAATATTGGGAGTAGTAAGCATTCTGAGATTCTGGAACACAGACATCACCACTTGATAAGAATGTGCTCATTATTCGGGACTCTGTTCTTATAAGTGTCCGTGAACCCAAAGCCTCTTCTAGCTCTTCTTGGCATTGATAAAGGATACATAGAAATGATTTCATATGTTCCAGACAATGGGCACTGCCTACCAGCAGATGGTATTTTGTTCACATGCAAGGACACAGAATGAATACAAAACAAGATACACTTTCTAGGCATCTGGATATTGTCAATTCTTTACAGAATAGCAGATAAAGTGATAGTCAAGTGACATTAAAGTAAACCCGCCCCAC